CCCCCCCCCCCCCCCCCCCCCCCCCCCCCCCCCCCCCGTGGGGGGAGAGAAGAAGCCTGAGCCAGTTTTATGTTGGTGGCCTGTGGGCACGTGTGGCAGTGTGACATCTCCACGGGTTCGTATCCTGCAATGCTGGGGTACAGCAGCGCTGAGTCTTATCAACTGCCCTTAGCTTGGATTGAAGTCAAGTTTTTCTAGAGAGAAGCTGAGTTCATGCCTCAAATATGGCCCCAAACCATACAGAGACCACCTTAGATTAAACTCTCTCCCTGACCTTCGGTGAATCACTCGGTAGACTCAGATCCCAGTGACCACAAGAATGCGTTTGTGGTTCCAATCCAGGGAAGCTTTTCACTTCTGACTCCCACCCAGAGCCATGTTGAAATCGCAAGGTTTCTTTCTGGTTTACTCTGCCTAGACCCTTTCTTGCCCCCACATTTGCCCTTATACTAACCATGGAGCCTTTTTGGTCTTTTTGGTCTTGCCAATACCAGCCGTTGAATGCCCCAGATAGAGTCTACACCTTGGGTATTTTGCTTTCTTGATTTTTTTTAAGATACTACTTTTATTTGTGTGTATGCCCGTGTGCCTATGTGTGCGCACATGTGTGCAGGTGCCTACAGAAACCCTGAAAGGGCATCGGATCCTCTGGATCTTGAATTACATAGGCTACCTATACAAGACGCCTGACATGAGCACTGAGAACCAAACTCAAATCCTTTAGACGAGTGGCAGGCATTCTTTTTTTTAATTATTTATTTATTTTTATTTTATTTACATTGGTGTTTTGCCTGCATGTCTGGGGGAAGGCATCAGATCTTAGAGTCACAGACAGTTGTGAGCTACCATGTGGGTGCTGGGAATTGAACCCTGGTCCTCTGGAAGAGCAGCCAGTGCTCTTCACTCCTACGCTGTCTCTCCAGGCCCTGTTCCCACCCCCACTGCCTATTGTTTTAGGATTTTGTTTTTGTTTTTTTAATTTTTAATGTGTATGTATGTACGTATGCCCCTGCATGAGTTTATGTGTACCCTGTGCATGCAGGTACCCGGGGGACCTCAAGAGGGCATCTGGTTCCCTGGAACTGGAGTTATAGGCAGTTGTGAGCTTCAATATGGGTGATGGGAAGCAAACCCGGGTCCTCTACAAGAGCAGTCAATGCTCTAACCACCGAGCCATCTCAGCCTCATGTTTTCCTTCCTGACTGCTCCTTTCAATCTAACCAGAAGAGCAGGGCCTCGATGCAATGGAGCAGAGTGGATGTTACAGGCTCAACTGCTGGAGGTGATGGGACAGTTAATAAAGACTCATGTCCCCAGAAAGCACAGAGGAGGGATTTAAGAACATCTCACCCTGCTGCTGCAACTGATGGAGAAGAGTAAGAGACGTGTTCATCCAGTCTCTCCTTCGCTTAACTGCAAGTTCTCTCGCAGGGTCGCAAAATCTAGGGGTAAAGATCAAAGAGAGTATTAAATTGATAGATGCTAGATTTGGCATTTAAAAACCTGCTTGAGGACCAACAAGATGGTTCATCCCTTGCTATGAAAGCCTGGTCACTTCAGTTCAATCCCCACATCAAGGTGGGAGGAGTGGATTCTACAAATGCTCCATGGCACACACCTGCACACACAATGATTTCAAAACGGTTTCTAAAGGGGGCTGGAGAGTTGGCTCAGCAGCTAAGAGACGGGATGCTCTCCTAGAGGATCCAGGTTCAATTCCCGGCGTCCATACAGCAGCTTACAACCATCTATAACTCCAGTGTCAGGAGATCCAACACCCTCTTCTGGCCTCCACAGGCACCAGGCACACATGTGGTACACATTCACACATACAGGCAAAACATTCATGTTCATAAAATAAAAAAAAAACTTCTTTAACAATAAAAAAAATTCTTGAAGCATTTAATTAAAAATAAAGAAATCCTTGGTGAAGACTGGGGTGAATGGCTGAGTGCCTGCCAAGTACTCACACGGCTCTGGGGTCAATCCTCAGTGCTGCGATAAATACATATCACTAGGTAGTGTATGAAAATTTCACAATAAGGGGCTGGAGAGATGGCTCAGTGGTTAAGAGCATTGCCCGCTCTTCCAAAGGTCCTGAGTTCAATTCCCGGCAACCACATGGTGGCTCACAACCATCTGTAATGAGGAATATTGTATACATAATAAATAAATAAATATAAAAAAAAGAAAATTTCACAATAAATTGCTAGTGAAAAGCCATCAAGATGACTCGACAGGAAAAGGGCCTGGCAACCTGAGTTTGCTCCTTGAGACCCACATGGTAGGAAGGAATTGACTCACAAAAGCTGCCTTCTGACCTCCATCCGTACACATGCTATGATGTGCTTGCACGCACAGGCACACACATACGAATAAATACAATAAAATTTTACAGAAAGATTAAGCAACTCTTCTTTGATAATAGAACCTGACTTTTAAAAGTTGAGACAGGACACGTTTCTTTTGAGCCACTCACTAATCACTAAAAGCTACCATGTAGTCTTCAACTCAACTTTCTTCTTTTTGTGGTGGGTGGAGTTCGAGACAGGGTTTCTCTGGGTAGCCTTGTCTTTCCTGGAACTCACTCTGTAGGTGAAACTCAGAGATTTGCCTGCCTCTGTTTCCCCAGTGCTGGGATTAAAGGCGAGTGTCACCAAAGCCTGGCTGACCGGCCTTCCTAATACTCAGGTCTAACATCTAACATTAGTACATACATTCCTCCCATGACCTCAGCAGATCACTGAAGAGCTATTACAAGTTCACGGGTAAAAACAAGCAGAGAGGAACTGGAATAGGAAACAAAAAACAAAAAACAAAAAAAAACAAAAACAAAAACATTTATGTGGAGAAAGAGTACACTTGACTTAAGGACTAAATTCACATAGAGGCAAAGGTCCTCTGGACCTCTGCCACCTCTGGATTTTCACTACGGCCTGTCATGGGTACAGACCCAGAGGCTCCAACCAGAACAAGAATGTCCTGAATCTCATGGCCTGTGAGCTTGCATTGCATAAATAGTCTGGAGGAGGGATCGCTAGCTTCTAATTCAACCTTCATAACAAATCCCATGACCTTCTAATCAGCATGTTAATCCCTAATGCCTGAATTCTCCACTTGGAATTCCTAGCTACGCCATGGAGCCTGGGGAGTTCAATTTAACAAAAAACTCCCTTAGCCCGTCCTGTGTTTGCCTCACAAGCGTGAGGGCCTGATTTTGAGAGAGAGACAGAGACACAGAGAGAACCTGGGCATGAGGGATAAAGTTTACAATCCCAGCACTGAGAAGAAAGAGGTAAGTCTCTCCCTGGGGTTCGACAGTCAAAAACACCCTGTCCTTATTGGGGAGTCCCACACCAATGAGAGACAAATACATCTTTTTTTTTTTAAGTGGTGGACACACTTGAGGAATACTGAGTAGGACTCTACCCTCTACATACCTGCACACAAATACATGTGTACCCACATATAGACATGAACACATTAAAGGCTGGTGCCACAGGGCTCTGCTACAAATACAATTGAAAACATGAGAACTAGCAAAAGTATTTGCTCTAACTATGGCAAATGCCAAAGGCAGAGTTGAGCATGTCCTTCAAGTCAGCCACCGCTCCAGGCATCTTGTAAAATGGGGGTGGGAGTTGGGGTGCGCATGCCTTTAATCCCAACACTCAGCGGGCAGAGGCAGGTGGATCTCTGTTGAGTTTGAGGCCAGCCTGGTCTACAGAGCGAGTTCCAGGACAGCCACAGAGCAGTTACACAGAGAAGCCCTGTCTTAAAAAAAATAAATAAATAAAATTTAAAAAAAAAAACATTTAAATGTAGAAACTGCTGGGGAACACAGCATAATTAATAGAAGGCTTGCCTAGCACACATCACATCCTGGCTTCAATCCCAAGCACTGCATAATCTAGGCACAATGATATACACTTCTAATTCCAGTACCAGAGAATTACAGTCAGGAAGATCAGAAGTTCAAGGTCATCCTTCGCTTCATACCAGTTCGAGGACAGTTTAGGATGCACAAGACCCTATATCAGGACAGGGAGAGGGGAAGCAACCAAAGGATAAGGCAAGGCCCTCTTCTAACATCCTACTGTTTTGCTCTAGTTAAAGAATAAGAGATGTTAAACTTGGCGTTTTCAAGTCCTCTGTATTTTATTCTTCAATTCCATTCTCCTTGCCCTCAGTGAGATTTGGTCTCACACCAGAGAGGGAGAGAGAGAGAGAGAGAGAGAGAGAGAGAGAGAGAGAGAGAGAGAGAATGCAGACATTTGAACTACACATGAGATTATTTTCAACTTTAAGGGGTTAGGAGTGAGGAACAATCTTTAGAGAACATCTTTAGGGGTGCTATGTCATAGCCTGACAACCTGAATTTGATTCTGGATCCCACAAGGTGGCAGGAGTGAACCAACCTCCACATCTGTATAACACACAGCTGCATACACACACAATAAATAGGATGGATGGATGGAGAGAAGGGAGAGAGGGAAGGAGGGAGGGAGAGAGAGGAAAGGAGAGAGGGGGAGAGAGAGATGGAGAGAGAGGGAGAGAAGGGGGTGACAAAGCAAAACGAGGCTTCTGATCTTTCCAGAATGCTTCAATGTCCCTCCCGTCTCACCTCTCCTGCCCAATTAATTCTCCTCTGAAGCAGCAGGAACTAAAGACACTTCTTTACAGGTAAATCTGAATGACAAGAGAGATGGCCTACAGGCTGGCATAAGGGAGAGTCAGCATGATGCGGCTGAACACAGCTGTGAGGGGAAAGACGTGTCCCATCTGTTCCTCTACTGTGAAACAGTCAAACGAGGCAAAACACTACCATTTGATAAAATTTGGAGACTGCGGAGTAGCTAGCCTTAAAACCAGACCTCCTCTGATGAGCCTGCATAGTTCTCTTTCACAGTCGCCCGGATCTCTGTTGCCCTGGAGAAACAAGTCCAAGGAAAAGGTTTACATGCTGAAAGACAGACATGTCTTTCTGGACAGCAGCAAACCTGCCTTCTCTGTGAGTCTAGAAACAGATCCTCCAGCCCCATAGAGCTCTGAGACAATGTGGCCCCCATGCTACACACTTGAGTGGAGAAGGAGGAGCTTCCTGGGTCCCATGGAACTGTCCTGATAGAAGATACTGTAGAAGAAAGGCGCTTGCCTGAGTGTGATGGGGCACACCTTTAATTCTAACACTCATGAGGCAAAGGCAAGCTGATCTCCATGAGTTCAAGGCCAGTCTGGTCTCTATATTGAGTCTGATGTCCCTGTCATTAGGTAACATTTCACCCTTTGGGGGTCTTTGATGGAACTGAAGACTAAATAGTTACAATTACAGTTTTCCTTGGTTATAATAAAAAGTAAATTGGCTTCAACACTTTGGACTCATCGAGGTAAGATAGATAATGAAGTATTTTCTCTGAATTTGTCAAATGCAAATGGACTGGACCTTGTTAATGTAATTCTTGCCTGTATATATTTGCATATAGTTATTGTACTTATTGCATATAGTTTTACTATGTTAGCTAAAACCTTCACTTTTTATTTAGACAAAAAGGGGGAAATGTTGTGTGGTATTTTGATTGTGTTCTGACAAATAAAGCTTGCTTGGAGTCATAGGGAAGAATCAGTCACTAGCTGACCATAGAGGTTTGGAGGACTGTAGACAGAGGAGACAGGAAGTAGTTAAGTGAGGCTGAGACAGGATCTCGGCCCTTTTGGATGGAGGAAGGGAAGAAGTAAGAAGTCACCGGTGGCTGCTCCCCTGCTTCTCTGATCTTTCAGGTGTTTACCCTGATATCTGACTCCTGGTTTTTATTGGTAAGGATTAATTAGACTAATGCTTCAAGTTCCAGACCAGCCAGGGATACACAGTGAGGCCCAGAAGGAAGGTGGGAGTGTTATCAGACAATTATATGGGATCCAAGAGATCCCATGTTAGAGGAAGGGAAAAGCAAAAGCTGCAATGCCACCCAGAAGAGGAAATTGCCTCCAGGAAGAGATTCCACACAGTTCTGACAACTTGTCAGACCAGCTCGTAGGGACCAAGCCGGCAGCGGGTTAGTGACTACAACTGCTTAGTTATGGATTCCTCTTGTCCTCTACATAAACCTAAACTTCACTTCAGGATAAAGACAGACTCGGGGGTCACTAGACCTCTTCTTGATTTATTCCTCTTCCCCCATATGGTCACCGTGAATAAACCCTCAACTTCCCAATAGCGCTCGTCTCTTTAATTGTTCTGTTTTGGACCGGTGGCCCGGCCCAGCCTAGCTTGTAGAAACTACCAGAAGTCAAGCTTTGACTCTAGAAACTCCGTAGTCATGGACTGTGTGAGACAAGAAATGGTTTCTGTTCATGCGGCTACATGTTTGAGACAGCTTGACCCACAACAATCCAGACGCCAGTGAGGACTGGTGTACTTATTTGATGGATTAGTCTTCGTTTCCCCCGACTCTAACAAATCTCATAATAGCTTAATCATACGTCAAGGGCATTTTCTCATGTTCATCATCCGAAGCTCAGACAAAGGACCTTTCACCAACTTGCACGGTCAGAGACTTGGCTGCAAGATGACGTCTTGCCTTCCCCAGAGAGGACTTTCAAGATAAACGGGGCCTTCAAAATGAGACATAGAAAGAAATCAGCTATTCTGAATCAAATTAGTAGCATAACGTACTCAAAGGTTACTGGTAAGGGAGCCGAAAGGTGCCACCTCAGAGAAACGATTAATAATGACAGAGACAAAGAAGGGCCAAGGGGGTTGGGAGGTGGGGGAATGGATGGGCCTCAACCTCTCCACAATGTGCCATGCTGCCACTAGATGGCAATAAAGTTGTATCATGCAATTATCGTTTGCCGGTTGAAATTTGCTTTCAATGAATGTCAAAAAAAAAAATCTAAAGAAATTCTTACTTAATTGCTTAGTTGACATAATTTTTAAATTACTATTTCTATTTGGGAATTAAAACTAAGTTTAATGTATTGATTTGTGGCCAAAAGTTATTTTAGAAAAAAGTTAAGTTTTAATGTGTTCCTTATTTATCTTAAACATTGACAGCCGAAGAGTCAGTGGAATGGCTCAATGGCTGGGCACCTGCCGTGCGAGTCTGGGGACCTAAATTCAATCCCTGGAACCCACATAAATGTGGGAGTCGAGAACGAACTTCACAAAGCTTTCCTCTGGCCACATCAGCACATGCACCATAAACACACCTCTCTCTCTCTCTCTCTCTCTCTCTCTCTCTCTCTCTCACACACACACACACACACACACACACAAAGAATTTAGTGGCTTTAAAAAATACCTGAATCTCTGCACTTCACAAGCATTCACCAGCTATCCATAATCTTTAATTTGGGGTAATTTCAAACGGAACGAGGCACATTCATTTCAATTTTGAAAGACTGTCACGGATAGGTCAAATTAGGAAAGTGTGCCCGTAATTTCAGCTCACTTTTCCTTTCTTCCAATCTGTCCTGGGTATAAGAGGTCATCTAGCTTAATAATTAAGCACACAGGCCTTGGAACGAGATTGGGTATCTTTAAATCCTATTTCCACCTTGAGTTGTATCTCATTACCTAACTCAAAAACCAGTGAGTTTTTAAAATGAGTTCGTATGCGTGGGGTACCGAGAGTGACACTTGTTACCTGGACATGCGGTTTAAATAGTGACTGTTTTTATTTGCAAACCCGAGGTACCGGGGATTATGGAAATCTGTAATGGAAACTGCAAGAATGCACCAATCAACAGAATCAAAGTCCACAGATAAAGAGTCCGAACCTAGTCCATGTGAATTGGCCCTTACTGTTGATGAAGAGGACACCCTCTCCAAGAATACACTAGAACACAGACCTTCCAAATCTGAAGTCGGTGAACTTTCACCCCATAATGGCAAATCGCTCTTATTTATTGACTGAGGAAACTCCCCCAGGACAAGCAAGTGGCAACATCAGTGCAGCTGAAATCCTGAACCATTAGCACACACCGTCAACAACTCAACCACTCACCTTCACTACCCTAGAGAAGGAATGACAACCAAGTCCGGGGGCGGGAGGGGGGTGTGGAGGGACAGAAATATCTTTGAAGTTTAGGCTCGGGCAGTAAGATTTTGAGGTTTTGAGGGAAAGTTCACAGCTTCCTTTGGTCCCAAACAACTCAAAATCATTTTGCTATTGGAGAAAAACAAGGGGATTTGAAAGAAAAACATAAAAGGGACTGTGTTCGCGATGGTCTACCAGTCACCAGTAAGTTCCCAAGAATGGTCTCTGAGAATGGATCCCCTTCTCTCCCAATGCTGAGCTTGGGGAAAGAGATAATAAAACGCTGGAGTACGCATGGGGCTGCTAGAACAGACTATTCAGCCCCACTGCAGGTGGAAGCCGAACGCTGAAGGACTTCTCAGTTCAGCAGCTACCAGAGCAGACGGATATCAGCATGGTGTGTGGAGGCAGATGGCATCGGGAGATCGCCGCAGAAGTTCCCGGAGCCACCAAGTAGTCTGGTGGCGGCGCATGACTGCCAGAAATACAAGATGAGCCCGGGTCTCTCCCGGTGCAGATGGTGAAGAAACGGTAGAATTTTCCCAGCAAGAGAAATATCGCATCAGAGACTGAGA